AACGTCTGTGAAACAATGCTCTGCGACTACGAGGATGTCTTGAATCGTATTATTATTCGCCATAAGTCTTGCATCTATGCTTACGACCGGGAAACAGATCAGCAATCGGCCGAATATCATGACAAAGTTGAAGGGAAGCCGAAAAAAAACACATCAAACCAGGTCTAAAATCAATGTCATGTTGACAGCTTTCTTCAATTATCGATGTATGAAGAAGACGACATAGATTTTGAAGAATAAATTATGAAGTATGAAATTGAAAACAAAGTCTTTTTTTGCACATAGTGAAAAATAAGTCAAGATATAGACGATATCCACATATGGCCACTTCAACTCGACTGATACCATATGTATCGGTGCATGCAAAGAAATTTCCTCGCCCAAAACTCGGCCGTGAAGAATTTCGAGTTATTTGTGCCCATATTTTCTTTTGGACCTTTTTTCTTGGTTTCTTTTCACTTATTGCCGAATGACTGAATAAATTCCCCAGCTGACAATTTTTTTTTTTTTTTTTTTTTTTTAAATAACGGTACAAGAGTTGCGGGTCTTTTTTCGTCATATTCTTCTTTTGCATTAATTCTTGGTTTAGAACTTTTTTTTTTGAAGAAAACAAAATAATTTAAAAACTAAATGATTCCCATTGAAAATTAGATCYGGTACTTATCGCATTTATAAATATACATATTTGTAATGGTGATTTCATTGAGCCTTGCTTTTATCTTCTTATTACTTTTAGCATCGCATATGGAATTTTATGGAAAAACATMCCGACTTTCAACATGACTTGGAATCACCCACAATGGATCGTCAACGCCAACTGGCCAATAAACGCGGGCATTTAATCTATGATAAGCAATTCTATGGATTAGGCGAAGTTAGTGAAATTCTAAAAAATCCATCTTAACGTCAGGCACCGTTATTATATTAACACATTTCTTTATCGTTTGCAGTACGTCACTGCGCCTCAGCTCTCACTGGCCTTTGCACAGGCCATGTTCTCGTATGAGGTCAGCTTTGCTGTCAAGTATTCGCTCTCAAATGGCATGTTCCCCAGCACAATTCTCTCTCTGGGCACTGAGCGTTTGGCCAAATATGCCGCAAAAATTGCAAATAATGAAATTATAGGCGCTTTTGCGCTTACGGAAATCTCGCACGGCACCAATGCACGTGGGATGCGCACACGCGCCACCTATGATCCAAAGACGCGTGAGTTCATTATACATACACCCGACTTTGAGGCTGCCAAGTGTTGGGTCGGCAATTTGGGCAAGACGTGTACGCACGCCATCTTATATGCACAGTTATATGTGCCCGACGACACATATCAGGGGYTGAATGCCTTCTTAGTGCCTATACGTAACGAACGTACGCTGCTGCCGTTCCCTGGTGTGACCGTTGGAGATTTGGGTGAGAAGGTCGGCTTGAATGGCTTAGATAATGGGTGAGCATAAGTGTCTTTGTACATATTTCGAAGTATTTATATATTTTGTATAAAATCTCTTATGTAGCTTTGTGATGTTCAACGAATAYCGCATACCCGGCGAGAAYTTGCTCTCGAAGACCGGTGATATCGATGAGCAAGGCAATTATGTGAGCAAAATCAAGGACAGTCGCAAACGTTTGGGCGCCTCGTTGGGKGCACTCTCGGCTGGACGCGCGAACATATGCTCGTTAGCTTATGTCGCGCTCAGCAAAGCTATAACAATCGCCACACGCTACTCCGCATGTCGCAAGCAATTCGGCCCTGAAGAAAGCAACGAAGAGTGGCCTGTAATCGAATATCAGTCACAACAATATCGTCTAATACCACACTTGGCCACCACCTATGCGCTACGTATATTCTCCATGTGGATCGGCACAGAAAATGTAGATTTGACCTTTCGCACCGTTTTGGGCGAAGATACCAGCAACAAAGGCATGGAAGTACATGCYGTGTCCTCGGCCGCCAAACCGGTGTGCACTTGGGCAGCGCGCGATGGCATACAAGAATGCCGCGAAGCATGCGGTGGWCATGGCTACTTGAAGCTGGCCGGCTTGGGTGAGCTGCGCAACGACAACGACGCCAATTGTACGTACGAAGGCGAGAATAACACGCTTATACAGCAGGCCTCCAATTGGCTGATAAGTCTGCGACGTAGTAATGCCAATTTCGCGGAGATTTCACCATTGGGTTCTGTGGTGTTCTTGAAGGATATGGACGCGATATTGCGCACAACGGCAACCGAACGYTGCGCGCAGGAGGCGCTGCATCCAGATAGTGAGTAGTTATTTTGGAATGATTGCAGTCTTGTAGATCTACTGCGTCCTACTTGCAGATCTCTTAAAGGCTTTGGATTGGCTGCTTGCCTTCCAGTTGGATAGAACAGTGCAACGCTACGAAAGCTTACGCAAGCAGGGTAAAGATGCCTTTGAAACACGCAACAACATACAAGTCTTCAACGCACAGCAACTCTCCCTTATTTACGCACAGGTAGGCGCACGCGGCACTAAATTGATTATGCATTTTAAATACGTTCTGCCAACAGCGCACAATCTACTATGTGTTCCATCGCTTCGTCAACAACTTACCGCCGTCGAATGAGAAAAATGTGCTTGCTCAACTGTTGTCGTTCTACGGCGCCGATTTGGTCACGAAGTACAYCGGYATCTATTATCAAGGCGGCTACTTCCAGGATAGGGCACATGCTGACCTCTACCRYGAAGGCATTTTGACGCTGCTGCCATTGCTGAAGGACGAAGCCATATCGCTGATCGATGCAATTGCGCCAACGGAYTTCATACTCAACTCGCCGCTCGGCATGAGCGATGGCAATGTWMGTKTAACTGTAAAAATATTGTGAGAAAAAGATAGTTATGTGTTTTGTTTTTTTGCTATGCAGATTTATCAACATTTGCAGCGTGCCATCGTGCAGGCGCCCGAGGTGTTCGAACGGCCGAGCTGGTGGCGCGAAGTCACCTACAAGGACTACCTGCAGAAGTCGAAATTGTAGAGTCTAGCATTTGCATAAGTTTAGCGCGSATAGTTGTGAATTTTGATACAAACATTTTTATTCCATTGCAATAATTTTATTCTTTGTCGTCGCACAATATACGAGTATAGAAAATATCAATAGAATATAAGTAACCAATAGCTAGCAGTTTGTGCTTTCAATAGTTGKCTGTTTTTTGCAAATGTCACATACATATATAGACATACTTATAAATTATTTGTGCTTTATGATAGAGCGAGCCTTACTTAGGAMTTATGACTGTGTATGCAACAAAGTTACGCTTTGTTGTTGGCATATATACTTACAAACAGATTTGTTGTTTTAATGCTTAAATTTTTATATACAAAATATATACATACATTGTTGAAAATTGTTATTGAAAGTCATGTTACTTTTTGGTTATCGTTTACGTTTTGGCAGTACCGTACTAGCACTATCACAACTAAAAATTTTAAAATATGCGTTTTGCTTCACAATTTGGTAGTTTAAACAAACAAAAAAAAAAAATAAAATAAAATAAAATAAAATAAAAGAATATCATATACACAGCAGCTTTGGCTCACATAGCGGAGCGATATGCCAAGTTTTATCATAAATCTCACACACTTCTAACAGATCACAGTCAAGTGTTGCATATCTACTACTACATAAGTATTAAATATGTACTAACAACAAACAATTACACTGGATTTTCAACCCTAAAACAAAATATCTTCCACTTACACTAATTACCCCGCATATGCAACCTACACTTAAATTAATACATCCGCGACYCTGCTTTGGCCGCTAAAATCTATGGCATACAGTAATAACAACAACTTCATGAAATGTTAAGGAATTTCGCCGGAACCTGATTCGAATTTATCTGCTATGGGCTCTGTAKATCCACGGTTCGTCGCAGTTTCACCCGACGGTGTCACCAACTTATCCACATGAGCCAGTTCGTGTTCGGTTTGCGCTAACATCGGTATCTGCTGCGGCAGATCGCTCGTMGCCCACAGATACAGATCGAGCGTCTTCTCCGTGCAATCGGCAATGAAACGCACGAAGGGGCGTATGTCGCCCTCGTTGGCCACCTGCAGAAACTGATAGTATTTGTGCCTGTTGAATAAATGCATGCAATATTRTAATTAATGGCGACGCTTATGTAATTACGCGTGCATATGTACTAACCGCTGCTGTTTTGGTATTATAATGGGCGGATAGCCCGCGCGCATCAACAAAGCGTTCATGAGTAGACGCGACGTGCGCCCGTTGCCGTCAATAAAGGGGTGTATGTGCACCAGCTTGTAGTGAGCTAAGGCCGCATGCCTGTGGGGTAATAAAAGCCATTCATATTTTTRCAAATAAGCTAGCAATAAATATCGGTTGCGCTATATTAAGCAAWTTTAGCTAGCGTGGAAGTCACTAAAGCATTTATAATTACTAAAATTTGCGTGTGTTTACTTACTTGACTGGATGCAATGAAACCGTTTGCTCCGCATTCAGCCAGTGCTCGAAATGCTGCATTAGCACTGCCAAATCGCCAGGACCGGGCGGCACATGACCGCCCACATACACTTGCGTACGACGAAATTCGCCACCCTCGATGGGATCCACATGACCCAGCACCCTTCTATGTATTTCTAATATGTCCTTTAAAGTTATCTCAATTCTAGAAATGAAGAACAAGAAATATTTATATTTTTTGTTTTAATTACGCGTTTTCAATTACTACAAAACTAAAACTTTCTAAAAGCTTACACACACTTACTTGTTAACCAAACTTGCATTGATGTACTTCATAGCCAAATCCAGACCAAGAATTTCGTTGTGCTCATCAATGGATTTACCGTCGATAGCCATGCGTGTCTCCAAAATGGAGCGCGTTTGCGCCAAAGTCATTGTGTTGCCCTCTATGCCCACCGAGTGATAGATATGTTGGAAATAAGCCTCTTTTTTCGCGCGCCGCAATGCCGCGTTCGATTCGTGCACTGCAGAAAGTGCGTCACGCTTCAGGTCAAGCAACTCTAGCTTGCGTTCGTCAATGGATTGTACAATGCCAGCGGTGCGCTGACGATTATTCACCGCTTCAGTGTTGGTGGGGTTTAACATCAACGCCTTCAGTTCAAAATAAAATTAAATTAAAATAGTCATAAATTTGGCGATTTAGTAATTACTTGAAAATAATATTGATCCGCCAGCACAATATCGCGTTGACTGTGCTCCAGATATTCGCCGTAGCGCAGCAAAACTTCAGGATGCTTTGGCGCCAATGCGAAAGCATGCTCATACAAACGCTGCGCCTTCTCAGCTTTACCTAATCCGCGCATTTCCGTTGCCAATCTTAAAGAGTCAAGTGCCTCTTTCACATTGGTTGCTGAAGCACGCCCACTCTCCTCTTCTTTCGCACTAACATATAACTCTTTGAGCGCATCCAAGTCCAGCGCTCCCGTGCCTGACGCTGCGTAAACAGCGAAATCATCGCGTGTTTGTAGGAAATGATTGTCGGGCAGGTGTTGCAATTGTTTGTTTGCCTGTCGCAACACGCCATATGGATTGATATGCCAGAACTCGTAGAGTATGAAAGCTACACTTGTGCCTGCTATGAAAATGCAGAGGTTCACGAAGCTAACATAAAGCATGGAAGCACGCGCCAGCTGTTGGTGTTGCTGTAGCTGCAATAGCGCCTCGTTGCGTATGGCGGCGATGGTAGCTTGATTCATTTTATGCTTTGTGCTTACGTTGTCAAAGTTGCCGAGTGCCTTTTCGTAGGGCACACAATTGCTGCGCTTTCTAGCTGTGGGCCCAATAGCTGGCACTGTGTCATTATCCATTCCTAAGTTGTCTTTGTTGTTACTTGCGAATGTTTGGCTACTTTAGCTAACTAAAATTGGAAATATTTCTCTTTTACACACTTTCTGCGATCGTTCGTTTTCCGTCCCGTTATGGTTTCCGTAAATGGCATCTTTGAGCTGAAAATTGTATGATTTGAATTATGGAGAATATGTAAAAATAGCAATTTTGCTAAATAGTTGGCACTCACCTCCACTATAACTGTTTGTATTTGTGTCTGCAACTTTCCTTTTACTGAGTCCATGACGTGTATTTTTGCTTTGCTTCCGTTGCTGCCACACCACATGAATAATAGGCGAATGTGTGTTAAATTATATGATTAAAATTTTATTTAAATATTTTCAATTCCTTTACAAAAGCTTATATTTGTAATGTTATAATAATAATGTTTTATTTAATTAAAAAATAATTTGCTACTGTAATAACAATAGTTTATAGTGAATGCATTAGCTAAAGGTGTACATATATGTATTTTTAGAATTCGTGTTGCCATTTGGAAAAGTGGCATCCTTATTGCTTCTGACCATTTTCGTAAATATTTACGAATGAGCATGTGTAAAAAGAATTCGATAGGCTTGTGGCAAAAAAGATACTAAAGAACAGATGTTAAGAGTCAATTTAATATATTGAGGAATTTTAGAGCGGTTTTTTTAATTGCCAAAGATTTTGAAATGATAGTTGCTGTTGCAATTGTTAGTTGTTGTTGCGCATTTAATTAACTTGAAGAGGATTTGTTTTATCTCGAATTTTGAAAGTGACTTTAGTGCATGTTTTTGCTGTAACTGAATTTACAGTAATTTTTTAAATGTCATGTTGTTATTGTAGCGGTTGGGTGATTTTGGTTGGTTGTCAAGGAAGTTATGTAGCGCTTGGTCCAGAAAAGCTATTTCGACGGGTACTGTCCATATAGAGACCGTTGTTAAATGAGTGGGGTTCGTTGGGCATGCAAAGAAATACATCTGTGTGCACATGGTCAATTCTGGATAAGTAGAAGTTTAACCTGTTACAGAATCGAAAATGAAATTGCTGAAGGTCACTCTAAATTCTTGTGTCAATTTTCGAGCTCTTCATCAACAAGGGGTGGTGGTTTGATTCTGAATGCGCCAATCACTGAGAAGGAGTCGGTGAAGATGTTAATAGCTCCCCTGAGAACAGCGTCAGTTCATATTCGCACTGCGTCCGAAGTCAGGTCGGCATACTTTTCGATTTCGCTGAAGAAGGATTTCCTTGTCCGTGTAAATTATAAACAAGTTCTTTCAGGGAACATCAACAGGAGGTCTTTCTTTTTAGAAGAACTGTAAAAGTTTTTAATAAGATCGCTTCACTATTTTCTAGTGACCACCGACATTGAAAAAGATGTTTTTGAGCACAATGAAAGATTGAAAAACCGATCGATCGGACCTGATGGACTATCCCAAACGTACCACATTTGTTGCGATTGCCTTGAATCTTTGGGAAAATATTTTTTGCTGATACATCGAGAAAACAAATATGGAAAAATACTCTAAACAAATTTTAAGTTGATGCGGCAAATAGTTACGGAGATACGAGGCTACTTGTAATAGTATTTCCACTCCATTAATCAGCTCCCAAAACTTTAAACCCCTTAAAATTGACTTTAATGCATGATTTTGTTGCAATTGGTGATGTTTGTTCCTTATAGCGTTGAAAATGTGGTCTTAAAACTCAAAGTTTTAGCGTCCGGAAAACTTTGGGTCCCAATCTACTATTCTTGGGGAAAATATTAGGTTAGGGGTTACTTTTTTGTTCCAATTCTATTCAACTGAACGAAGTTATGCAGTCTCGTTTTTAACATTAAAGTCTATGATACTAAAACTTATAACGTAAATAATCCGAAAATGCTCTTACTACCTTTGACCTTGGAGTCATGTGATGCCAGGTGTAAGCGCCAGCTAACCGATCTCGCAGCATCTCTTGCTGTTAAAAACAACTTTTATTAAACGCGGATGATTTATAATAGACTAATTTACATTTCAAAAAGTAACAGTCGTTTATTAAGTATCAACGATTATTCTCAATGGATTGAGTAGTTTGTGACTTGTTGACCGGTTAGTGACTCATTAGAGGTAACAGTACGCATGAATGAATAAAAACCAGCTTAAAGCCAAAGCAAATAAACAAAATGCAGTTACTATTCAGTAATTTGGTTTAATTTGCTGGAATACCGCAGATTTTGTATGTACATATGTACGTTGGTATGAGTGACGTTGCGTTCTTTAAGTCTGTTATGAATGTTATTTTTTACCCATTGCTGGCGGTGTGTCACACCATAAACAACATACGTCATAAGTTGTTGTTTCTGACTTTTAATTATATAATTTTTTTCACGTTTTCACCTTGTGATTTAATTTATATTCGCAATCGCACTTTTTGCTTCGTGGAGATCCGCTTAGATCCGCAGCTATATTTAGAATCAAGCGCTGTCTTCAAGCCTCCATATGTTTGTGGTAATGTTTACTTTATTGTTTTTGCTGTTGTTATTACGGTTGACACTGCCAGTGCGCACCGATATTCGCGCACCAGTGATTTATTAGGCAAAAATGTACAACAAAGTGGTAACTGTCTGAATATAACAGGGAGGGTGGTGCATTCACAAGCACACACACAAAGCTGTGCATATATATGCATTGTTATATGCCTGTGAAGAATTGCCGGTCTGTCAAGTCATTAGAAAATTGATAATGACTGACACTAAAGCTGTCAAATTGTCACATGGAATCAGCCAGCCCTGCCTAGTGGGTGGACCGGCATTGTTGTGGCTTAACAAAAAGTAAAAAAAAAAAATTCAAAATATTCAGTAAAAGTACATATGGTTTGTAGTAGTATATGTGGGTAAAAAAACGATTTTTTCACATGCTAGGTACTTTGAAAATTAGATTCTTAGACTCTCTACTTGATAAAATAGAATATCTCGTTCCGAGTCGGCAAGCGAAAAAAAAATTTACGTTTTTTATATAATCGCTGAAAGTTAATTTGCTTTTGAAACACGTAGGAATTGGGGAAAATTTTAGGTTAGTTCGACTACCAAGAGTCTAAAATTATTTGAATATAAATTGGTTTATTGTCCTAATATACAAGTTTCATCATAAAATAGACTTCTTAAAAAATCTCCTGCTACATCTGTAGATCTTTCTTGCTTTATTGGCCTAGATACCGCTTACGCGGTTGTAGCCAAGTTTGGTCTCAATAGGAGACTCCAAGTGTTGTCTGGTCCATCTCCATCTGTTCTTTTCAACAAAGTGGAAGTCTTCCTCATCCTCTGCTTCCGCCGGTGGTTACTGCTTCCAATACTTTCACAGGTGGTGTATTTTCGTCTACTCGGACGAAGTGACTAAGCCAGCGTATCCGCTGCCTTTTAATTCGCTGAACTATGTCAATGTCGTCGTATATCCATTGAATGCGGTATTCGAAGTTGCCAATGCGCAAAGGACCATAAATCTTCCGCAGAACCTATCACTCGAAAACTCGTAACGTCAACTCATCAGATGTTGTCATTGTCTATAGTTACTTGATTATATTTTTATGAGTGTGAGTACACTTTCTTCATAATTCGAATCTACTTGTATTGTACGTTCCACGGTTTTGGGAATAGCTAATCGTTTTTCCAAATTTATCTTTCTTCTGCTGCCATTTTCTAATTTATTCGATGTTGTTTCGAAAGCTTTCAAGTACCCAATGCTTCAGTCGGCTTTCTATTCGCATGTACGCATACTTCGACTCACAATGTGCTGGTTGTTTTCAGTTTAACCAAATTATCGGCTTGTAAATAGTTCCATTTATGATTTTAATCTTCCAAATTATCAATTTTTTCAACGACCTCAAATGTATGTACATTGTCTTTTTTCTCGCTAATGGAGCAATGCGTACTCGGCGTGCTGATAATAAAGTTAATAATATAAATGCGAATCGATGGACTGTGCTTTAATTCGATTCTAACAATACTTTTACTTTATATACCTAAATTTAAGATTTATAATTAATAAGGATCGCGAATTCAGACCTATATCCTACTGGCAGCTTCCATAAATTTGAGCTTAGTTAATCAATACTGCATTTTAAGCGTGAGTAACATAAAACGGGAAGCGAACGAAGATAGTTTGCTGTTACAAGTACATATCGATTTTTTTCTATTTTTTCGCCGCTTTTTCAAAGTGTATTTATCCTAAGCTGAGCTTCGAGCATTGATTTTGCCGCATTTAGAAATAAGTTTGCTTGATCCTTCTTTATTGAAAACTGATTTTAATATCTGTAAACAACTCTATTTGTGAGCTCGGTTTGATATTGTGAATATAATAGAAACTTGCACCGCGATCTATGTTCCATCGTGCCCTCTCTTCTATCACATGATCTAATGAATTAGAGAAACTCGCTGGGCGCTATCATAGTGTCGTAATATCCAGATGTATGGATTTAAGGGTCTCAACCATGCGTCTACACATTGCTTTGGAATCTGGGATCAGATGCTCAGGAGTTTTCGGTTTCATATCGCTAAACTAGCAGTTTGCAAAAGAGTTTATGTGCCTGTTGTACAAGTGCTTATTGAGCCTGCAATGGCGAGTACAAAATGCGACTAATAGGCATAATTCTCCTCGGAAGAAGTTTATCATGAGGTCATCACCCTTGTGAAGTTGTAACTCTGCCTACTCTATCTTCAGTGTGAAACAGTTGCTTTATCGTGTGGATCCCCATCAAGTTTTAGTTTCACCATCCTAGAAGCCACATCAGACCAAGCGAGCTCGTCAGCCAACTCGTTGCCGGCTACACTTTTATGCTCTAGCACTCAGAGGAGGTGTTCATATTTGTAATTGATGTTCAGCACTCTTGCATCTCTAGCTCAGATCACTTTTAGTGCCGCTTTACTATAACTAAGTATGGCAATATGTTGAATACGATAATTACGTTGGATATTTATTTCTACACATCGACTAAAAGCAAAGACCTCTGCTTGAAATAAGCTCAGAGAACATTCCATGAGTATGGGAAGTTCGGTCCATCGTCTTCTTATGCCTGTATGAATGCCTTTCTATGTTGTATGTCTATGTTCTATGGTTTGTCAGAGTACCACTAGTAGATTTATTAGTAGATCAAGAGTTCAATCATTTCAGTCAGTTTTACTGGCGAGGTTAACTTTAAACTTATTTGTGAAGTGTGTTTTTTCGTAACGGGATATCTTCGGAGGGAAGGTCTTCACTTGTTGAGATGATTTCATCTTCATTTTTCCACACCCTTTGGCTGCCTTGAGTAGTACTATAGAA